CCTTACAACTTTTCATTCTCATAAAAAATTCCTATACAGAAGACAATAGAATCATCCCATAAACGCATATTAATAAATGTCTCATTTATCTTTGCATTTACTCTTGAGAAATAACGGTTTCTGTCTGTAATTTCTCTCTTGTTTAATGAGAGCGGTCTGCTTTTATGTTATACGTCAAATTTAATGCTAAATAAGAAAAAAAAAGACTAATTAAAACATAATTTGGTGGCTCTCTTTTGCTTTGCAGAGCCAAGCTTGAACAGAAATTAGCATATAAAGCTACCCACTTAATTGCATTAACTAATTTAAAATGATAGACGGGCTATCCAATAATAAATAAAATTGAATAAATTGAATGGTCAATAGAAATCAAACTTTTATATAATTTGTATATTTATATTAAATAATCCAAAAACCGTTCACAATTGTCTTGACACAGTCACAGACATTTTTTTTCACATTCTTAGTCAGTTTTCTTTTTTGACTTCATTACTTCCTCTCCCTCTCGGTGTAAGGTGGATGAACTCTGCGCTTAGTTACTGTACATCAGTGACTCCCGTTGTCTTGGAAACCAGTATGGTTACCCTGACAGCAATGACAATCATCTGTAACCCCAGAGATTCATTAGTGACAGTAGCCATGGAGATCACCAATCAGCTAAGTTTTTGCACCAGTGTCATTAAGAGTTTCCTTGGGGACTGGGTCTGTGTGTAGATATTTAAATATATATATATATGTACACTTGAGATACAAATGCTGTCATATCTCTCTAGAACATAATGTCATCTTCTGACATGCCCTTACTTTCTCAATGTCTCAATGCTATCCTCATGGACATAGTCACACATATACACACAGGTATTGGCGAGCTCTGGCTTGTTATTTCACATTAGGTATAGACTTCACTAGGGACTGTCCTTTAAATTAAAAAAACAAAACACATATGCATCCAGGTTTCAATTAACACATATAACCCCCACAAATAGGATAAATAAATGAGAACCTGTCAAATCTAACACCTCAAGTTCACACTCTGATATGCATTGCATCTAGAGACTAAAGAGATGGTTCACTTTGAAATTAATTTTTGCCATGTTTTAGCTTACATCAAGCGCATCCATGATGTAGGTGTCTTTGTTTCCGCATTAGTTTCAATTTTGATATTTTTAAGTCAAACCGTTCTTGTCTGTCAGTCATATAATGGAGGTCTATGGTCACCACCTCAAAGAGCATGCTCAGAGAAGTCCAAATTAAACATGATTTAATGACTCGTAAATGTAAGTGCACATTGATGGCCTAAGACACAAAACGAGCGGTTTGTGTGAGAAAATGAACAGTATCTTGAATGTTACCTCCCGGGAAATTGTGGTGATGACTTTAATATTATTAAGTAAAAACATGTTTCATTTCTGGGAATGACAGCAGTGTGTCTCAGTTCTGGCAGCATATGCGTTGCTCCATCATTATGACTGAGTAAATTAAATGAGTGAGTAAATTAATAAGTTCAACTTTATATTCGACTGATTCGACTAAATAGTGAAAGAGCCAGCATTTCACATACTGAGATGAGAAGAAATGTATAGGTTTACACATTGATAGCTCATCCATGCTGTTGTACTGTATGAGAAAGTCTCTATCGTGTCAAGGCTTTTGTTTATTAATATAGTAAACAATAGCTATTGACTTCACTGTCTAAACAAACACATCTCATCCCTTTAAAAATGAAAGTGTGGACAGTCAATCCTAAAGATTGGATTAGTGTGAACAAAAGCCATAGAGACCTGTTTGATATTAGCTCAATAAATAATCACCTAGCAACCACTCAGAACAGCCTAGCAACCACATAGCATCATACTAATCCCAACAAAAACTGCATAACAATACCCTGACAACCATTACTTTCATTCAGAATATCCCTAAATATAAATAAACACTCACCTAAAGGATTATTAGGAACACCATACTAATACTTTGACCCCCTTTCTGCCTTAATTCTACGTGGCATTGATTCAACAAGGTGCTGAAAGCATACTTTAGAAATGTTGGTCCATATTGATTGGATAGCATCTTGCAGTTGATGGAGATTTGTGAGATGCACATCTAGGGCGCGAAGCTCCCGTTCCACCACATCCCAAAGATGCTCTATTGGGTTGAGATCTGGTGACTGTGGGGTCATTTTAGTACAGTGAACTCATTGTCATGTTCAAGAAACCAATTTTAAATGATTCAAGCTTTGTGACATGGTGCATTATCCTGCTGGAAGTAGCCATCGCCATCAGAGGATGAGTACATGGTGGCCAATAAGGGATGGACATGGTCAGAAACAATGCTCAGGTAGGCCGTAGCATTTAAACGATGCCCAATTGGCACTAAGGGGCCTAAAGTGTGCCAAGAAAACATCCCCCACACCATTACACCACCACCACCAGCCTGCATAGTGGTAACAAGGCATGATGGATCCATGTTCTCATTCTGTTTACACCAAATTCTGACTCTACCATCTGAACGTCTCAACAGAAATCGAGACTCATCAGACCAGGCAACATTTTTCCAGTCTTCAACTGTCCAATTTTGGTGAGCTCTTGCAAATTGAAGCCTCTTTTTCCTATTTGTAGTGGAGATGAGTGTCACCCGGTGGGGTCTTCTGCTGTTGTAGCCCATCCGCCTCAAGGTTGTGCGTGTTGTGGCTTCACAAATGCTTTGCTGCATACCTCGGTTGTAACGAGTGGTTATTTCAGTCAAAGTTGCTCTTCTATCAGCTTGAATCAGTCGGCCCATTCTCCTCTGACCTCCAGCATCAACAAGGCATTTTCACAGGACTGCCGCACACTGGATGTTTTTCCCTTTTCACACCATTCTTTGTAAACCCTAGAAATGGTTGTGCATGAAAATCCCAGTAACTGAGATCAGATTGTGAAATACTCAGACCGGCCCGTCTGGCACCAACAACCATGCCACGCTCAAAATTGCTTAAATCGCCTTTCTTTCCCATTCTGACATTCAGTTTGGAGTTCAGGAGATTGTCTTGACCAGGACCACACCCCTACATGCATTGAAGCAACTGCCATGTGATTGGTTGATTAGATAATTGCATTACTGAAAAATTGAACAGGTGTTCCTAATAATCCTTTAGGTGAGTGTATATACTATCTGTGCATTCTCTTACAACATTTTCACACACACACATCCTCAGCTCTGATGATCCTTCAAAAATAATAAATCGACAGATGCTTCACGTTCACAACCTAGGAAGTGCACAATCACACACAATCATCCCCTCATGTCTCATGGTTAACATCAAAGTGCATGAAAGGAGACATGAGACAGAAATACTCGGTAAACGTACTCACTCTCTGGAAAGACCAGTGGTTACATAACACGGTCAAATTGCTTTGTTTCTCTTCTGCGAGACCAATAATGTCACTAAAGGGACAGTTTGACAACACTTCGGTAATTTCCGACGTAATCCTTGTGAGATACAGAGTCTTAAATTATGAATATCATTTATGTGTCTCATAACTTTATGCAACAGAAAAGCTCCCTCGGTGGAATTTATGACGCAACATAGAGAATTATCTCGTAATTTTTGCTTCGCATGCAGGCCGCCTTCCCTCTTAGAACTTAAGAAAATGCAATATATGAAAATTCGGATGATTTTTTTCATTGCAGAAAGGGGAGAAGCAAGTGAACGGTATGGACAAACCACACTGCATGCAGCAATTTTTCATCAGCACAAGGCTGGCTCATGGCCATGGCGAACATCATCAACTGAGAGGGACAACAATGAATTAGTGAGACAGAAACAAAAGCAGTTCTCCGCCTAGAAAAAGAGTGAGAGGGAGAGGTGTACTAACAGCACAGTAAGTCTAATTGCCAGTGTTTAATTATTGTACACTATACAAACAAACAATAAGCTTATTGCTTTAAGGAGCTTTTTCTACCTAATCTGAAACTGGAAATGGCTTTTCTAACTAGTCAGAAACTAAAAATGACTCTTTTTTTCTATTCTATATTATATTTTCATTTTCTATTTAATTAATATATACATTAAAGAATTTGCAGCATTTTTATGATGGTATATATTTTTGATAGACTCTATTTTTTATATTGATGATGATAAATATATAGTAGATAATATTGAGTTAATATATAGTCAATATGAGTATTTCCAGGACTTTTTTTTTAGCTAATCTGAAATTGAAAATTACTTTTGTTGTAATCAGGGGTAGTAATTATCTATGTTGTATTATTTTACTAATTTAATTTATAAATCAAATAAAAATGTATAAACTTTGCAGAATTTAAATGGTACTTTATTTGTTATTTATTGTATACCTTATTTGCACAATTTCTGACTACATTGATGATTAATATATAAATATATAATTAATATGAGGGATTTTTCTAGCTAATCTGACACCAAAAAATACTTTTGTTGTAATAAGGGGTAGTAATTATTTTATTTTATTAATTTTTTATTAATTTATTTGATTAATTAATACATTTAAAATGTATAAAAATGGCAGTATTTTCTATTCATTTATTTGTTATTTATTGTATACCCTATTTGCACAAATTTTGACTATATATATATATATATATATATATATATATATATATATATATATATGGACGATTAATATATAGTATATATTATTGAGTCAGTAGTGAATTTGATTAGTCCCAGGGCATTTTTCTAACCGATCTAAAAACTGAAAATGACTTTTGTTGTAACGAGAGGCAGTGATTTTTTTTTTTACTTTATTATTCGCATTATTTTATTAATTTAATTCAACTAATGTTTTTATTATACTTTATGTGTTATTTATGGTAACGTCTATTTGCAGAATATTGATTAAGTATTATTGATTAAATATTGATGATAAAGTTTCGCACGCAGGTATTTTAATGATAAGTATACCAATACTGCATACATTTTGCCATGTCAATAAACCATCCTAAATGGAGAATAAGCAAGAGTGCACACAAAGAAAGGATATGGGCTGCACACAAGTGCAAGGCACCAGCTGCGGGGTCGAGTGCTCTGATGGAGCCAGAAGAACACCACCGGTGCAAGGGTCGGATATGGAAGCTGCACATTCTCCTTCACCTCTGCCATGCTGCCAGTGGACTTCCAAGATGTTTCGCCACTTCCAGTAAGGCCACCGGGCAGGTCCTCAGCCTCCTCGAGGCCTGGGCCTTCAGCCTGAGCTGCTTTGGTCCGATCCGGCCACAGGGTTGGTTCTGTGTCCTCACCGGTGGTCATGATGATAGAATAGTGGGCAGCAACGTGACCCTGCTGATGGGAACGTCACTCATATACCAGTCCTCCATCCTAAGAAAATTTACTTAAACACATTATGCCTTTCACTTTCTCTGCATATGAATAGGGTTAGTCCATCTAAAAATTCCCTTGCTCGCCCTTATGTAGTTCTAAACCCACCTGACTTTGTGTTCCAAAGGGATGCTCAAAACCCCAACATTTTAAAAATGCCAGCATAAAGATCAACATTTAGCAAGTTCCTTTAATCAAAAGGTAAGCCATAGGAACATCAATCACGCTCTCTTTTCATTTCCATTAAGGCCATCACTATAGAGCCAAAACTGACGTCTTTTCCCTGCAGTGGGATTTTTAGATGTCCAAGCAAAACGTGTTGTGCCAGCAACCCTGTTGTCAGGATTATCATTATTACTTTCCATGCCTTATAATGTAACCAAACTGTAAATTGTAGAACTTTAGAATGAAGACCAAATGCTGTGTGAGGAATAAAAATTCCACACATTTTACTGTTAGTTGCACTTTAGATATCATTTTGCTTTAAAGTTGTTTTGTTATATTTCATGAAACATTTTTTTTTAAAGCCTTTCAATGACAAATAAAGAAATGGTCAGGGTGTCTATAAATACGAAAACATGCTTAGATGTATTTATTAATTAATTTTTAAACATTATACTACAGTAGTAACTGTCGATAAAAAAATATATTTCTTTTCTGAATAAAAAAAACAAAGTAAAAAAGAACTGATTTCAGAGACCTAAATTATTTATTTTATTTCCTGTTTTCTAGCATCAATCATAAAGTTTAACGAATCGTACATTGTAAAAGTATGTCATTTTGAAAAGTAAAAATGCTCCATTAAACTATACCTTATCTAACCATAGCAAAACAATACATGTTATTTTACTGTCAATATTGTGAAAAGGCTACAATAAAAATCTAATAAGTTATTATCATATATGAAATTTTTGTAAAAACTATAAAATTTTTACAAAAAAAGATTTTACAAGTTCTACATTTACCAAGACAATACGCTTTTTACTGAAAAGTATGAATAACCAGGGAAATTCCCAGAATGCCATGCGAATCATGACATTTGTTTATATTATTTATTTAGGCTCATTATTATGCCCATTGCAGTTTTTATGTTGCAGTTGATGTTATTCAGTATGTTTATAATTATTTTAGTTTAATATTTGTTACACTGTCGCTATTTTGAGTAACAATATATGTTTATGTTATCATTGATCACATCAGTTGCAATATCCCAAGTCATTATGTGGCCTTCTATTGTTATTATCAACACATTTTCCAATAGAAACCCGATTTAAAAGCTCAAATAGTTTGTTAAACTAGCATTATATCATTCAACGACTGTAAAATATACCAAAATCACAAAAAAACGCCATCCCGTAACATCGTCACTGCATTTTATGCGGTAAAGTTCAGGCAAACACAGCTGCCAGTTTTACCGCGCATTGAGAACAGTGTAGTTTCTTACCGTGTGTGAAATGACAGCACGTTCTGGCTCATGCTCTCAACTGCGGCTCCCAATCCCACATAAAATTAGTCCCATCACGTCCCTTCTTCATGAAAGGATCCAGAAAAACAAGAACGATGCATAAAACTCTCAGTTACATCAGGTTTAAGGAACTCCTTGTATGAGAATACTCCTTTGAGTGAGAAGCGCGAGGGTCAGTGCAGCGCGCGTCTTGGCACACTCGAGTCTCGAGCTTGAAGTTTCTACTGGACGCGTGACGCGCTCTGTGTCGCGAGGAGAACTCCTGTGCGCGCGCTTCTCTCTCTCTCTCTCTCTCTCTCTCTCTCTCTCTCTCTCTCTCTCTCTCTCTCTCTCTCTCTCTCTCTCTCTCTCTCTCTCTCTCTCTCTCTCTCGCTCTCTCTCTCACTCTCTCACTCACTCTCTCTCTCTCAGTTCAGAACAAACGCGCGTCTTCCACGGCAGCGCAATTTATTTCTTCCGGCAGAAAGTGAGATGTAGAAGACAGGGATTCCCCCAGGAACAGATCCAGATTTAGGCGAAACATTTACAGCTTCTTTCATACAGTCCCTCGACGGCATACATTTATTTGCCTTAGAGATCAGATTTATGTTATTTTGAGGGCACAGTTTCGTAAGTTTGCTGTATCCAGGTGACCCGAGCGCTTATAAAATGTGGTCGTCTTTGAAAATCAGTGTTTCTGCTGCTCTTAATGAGCTCATCCACTCTCACCTCTGACCTTTCAACGATTTACCTTTTAATTACCATAAATTACATCTTTTCCACATCATTTTCAGCCAGCAATCACATTATTATTCACTTCTTATTGTTAATAGCACTCCTGTGTGGAATAATCAGTAATCTGCTTTCAAAGTTTTCACTTTTTGTACAATATAATTTCATATAGCCCACAGCTACTAATCTTTTTTCTCTCAGCTTTGAGCATCAAACTTCAAGTCTTAATTTCTATACTTTCTTAATTTCTATAATTTCTATATTTTATGAAGAAAAGGACAGTTATAATTCTGACATCCTCCCTTTATAGGGACTTGGGATTTGGAAAAATGATTCAAAGTTTTTTCACTGTAAAATGCAAAACATTTGGTTCATTCTAATACATTTTTACACAATAACACCAGAAGCCATTTGTATGGTGGAGTAAACATGTTTGTGTGCGTATCTGATTCTTCGCCAGACATATGATATCAGCATTAGTTTTGTGACCCGGGTTAGGTTACCATAACAACCATTGCTATGACATCATCACAAAATGCATTCTGTGTTTCCCATATTGTGTGCACAATTCGTGTCTGTTGTAAAATAATGCCATTCTGAATTGTAAAGGTTTAGTTTCATCCATAATTAAACATCTAAATCAGCTAATCAAGGTCTTCAGGATTACTTCATTGTGTGTAGAAAATTACCTCAGGAAAGTGACCCTGATCGAAAAGACACACCCAGAAGCATGATGGTGTAAAAGGGTTAATCACAATGATACCCTGTAAGTGGATACTCCTCAAATGATTGTGGAAATGAAGTGCTCAGAATCAGACTAATGGTGCATGTAAGTGTCTATCAAACCAAGTGTGTGCTTTGTGCTCCGTCTCTTTGTGTGTAGACGGGAGTGTTTATAGATTTAAACAGGTTACAGGCCTATGCATTCCACTGTGACTGCAGTACCGAAAAACTGCAACATGGGCAATACATCCCCACACACACACAGGCACAGACACACACGCACAATCACATTTAGTTTTGGGCCTTTGTTTTGTCCCCAAATATATAGTTCAACCATGTCAATTTAAAAACGATAAACAGGCATCACAGCTTTCTTTACCGATGCGAAGGAAAGTTCACATGTAATTTAGTAATACTGAGAGCTTTGCACTTTGCAGTGTGGTTTTAGCATGAGGACTGATGGATTGAGGACAGAGCAAAAATCAATGTGATCACTCAGCGGAGTAAATGAAGGGAAACAACACTATAGGTGACGTGATGTGTTTGATCCACTGCAGTGGTTCTTCCTCAAGTGAGTCACGAGCGCACAGAGTTAAAAGGTCAACCGAGGAAAGTGACAAGCGAATTCAGAAACATGGATGATATTCTGTAACAGGGTGGCTTAATAAGTAAGTCCTTAAAAAATGAAAAAAATTCGAGTTAAAGTAATTTGAAAGTGTAAAAAATATTTCAGCCTATTTTTGAGATTTACACATTTCAATTGTATTTTAAAATTCCATTAAATTGAATAAAAAAACGTGAAAATATTGTTACATTTATTAAAGGACAAGTTCGGTATTTTACAATTAAAGCCCTGTTTTAAGATCGTCCCTGATGAAATAGAATAGTTAAGATTGTTTTTTAGACAGATGCTGCTGTCACGAGAATTTTTGGATTCTGTGTTAGCACCCCCCCCCCCCCCCACCTTTATAATGAAAGCATAGGTGCACTCGAACAATCATTCATAAAAACGCATAAAACTTTAGTTTACAAAGACGTGAAACTCACCAAATGGTCTGGTGCTAACACAGAATCCAAAAATTCTCGTGACAGCAGCATCTGTCTAAAAAACAATCTTAACTATTCTATTTCATCAGGGACAATCTTAAAACAGGGCTTTAATTGTAAAATACCGAACTTGTCCTTTAATACGAATCGCATAAACTAAACAGTCCATTAACTTTTCCATTTAGATTTAAACAAAATAGTTCACCTCAAAATCTCAATTCTGTCATTATTTACTCACCCTCATGTCATTGCAAACCCGAAAGACTTTTATTCATCTTCACAACACAAATGAATATATTTTTTATGAAATCTGAAAGATTTCTGTCCCTCCATTGACAGTTACGTAACTACCACTTGGATGCTTCAAAAAATTCATAAAGAGATCGTAAAAACTAATCCATATGAATTGAGTGGTTTAGTCCAATTTCTCTGAAGAGACACAGTTGCTTTACTAGATCAACAGATTTAATTTAGGCTTTTATTCACAGTATAAACATTCATGAACTCACACCTCAGTTGTGGTAAACGGAAGCTCAAGCATGTTTGCCAATGCGGTTCATTCTCGTGTTACGCATCACGTTTGAGCTTTAGCAAGAACCAATGAGGTTCATTCTCGTGTTACGCATCACGTTTGAGCTTCAGCAAGAACCAATGAGGTTCATTCTCGTGTTACGCATCACGTTTGAGCTTCTGCAAGAACCAATGAGGTTCATTCTCGAGTTACACTAGGAGAAATGGTTCTATTTAGAACCAGAAATAGTTCCATCCCCCGCTTCATATATGGAACTCCAAAATGGTTCTATATAGAACCATTTTTTTTGGTAAAAGTTTCTATTGGCCAAGTATGGAACCCCAGGGTTCTATATAGAACCCAGAGGAACCCTTTTTTTAAGAGTGTATAGAACCTTTTAGGGGTTCCAAATATGTAGCGCTGATGGAACCTTTTAAAGTTCTATATAGAACCTTTTCTTCTAAGAGTGTACACATCACATTTGAGCTTCAGCAAGAACCAATGAGGTTCATTCTCGTGTTACACATCACATTTGAGCTTCAGCAAGAACCAATGAGGTTCATTCTCGTGTTACCCATCACGTTTGAGCTTCTGCAAGAACCAATGAGCTTCATTCTCGAGTTATGCTTCACGATTGAGCTTCAGCAAGAACCAATGAGGTTCATTCTTGAGTTACGCATCACATTTGAGCTTCAGCAAGAACCAATGAGGTTTGTTCTCGAGTTATGCATCACGTTTGAGCTTCAGCAAGAGCCAATGAGGTTAATTCTTGAGTTACGCATCACGTTTGAGCTTCAGCAAGAACCAATGAGGTTCATTCTTGAGTTACGCATCACGATTGAGCTTCAGCAAGAACCAATGAGGTTCATTCTTGAGTTACGCATCACATTTGAGCTTCAGCAAGAAGCAATGAGGTTTGTTCTCGAGTTATGCATCACGTTTGAGCTTCAGCAAGAACCAATGAGGTTCATTCTTGAGTTACACATCACGATTGAGCTTCAGCAAGAACCAATGAGGTTCATTCTCGTGTTACACATCATGATTGAGCTTCAGCAAGAACCAATGAGGTTCATTCTCGTGTTACACATCACGATTGAGCTTCAGCAAGAACCAATGAGGTTCATTCTTGTGTTACGCATCACGTTTGAGCTTCTGCAAGAACCAATGAGGTTTTTTCTTGAGTTATGCATCACGTTTGAGCTTCAGCAAGAGCCAATGAGGTTTATTCTCGCTCGTCAAGTAGGTTCAGTTGAGCTTCTGTTTATGTTCGCTGATCAATGTTTAAATGTGCATAAAAATCTTAAATTAAATTAAAAGGCTTATTTCTTTTTGAGCATGTTGTTCCAGAAGGGCAAACTAGCCTATATTAGCTATTTTATTTTAGATTTATTTATTCAACAAATAAATATGACTAAATATTTCGTTAGAATCCGTGTGATTTGACACATTATGCGTGTGTATGTGTGATTTGTGATTTTAAATGAGAACTAATGTTTGAAACTCTCTCAAATTAAAATGTTTTAGAAAAATAATACACACACACATATTCTTTATAGAGATCTATTGGAGATTGAATAATCGATTCTGATTGGTTGACGAACATTCTAAGGTGTGCAATTATTTTCAGAGAAACTGAAGTAAATGAAGTAGTTCCAGGTCGTGACCGGATCCCCATTACAGTTCCATATCACTTCGTCAAATGATTTTAATTATTTCAAAGGTCCTTTCAGCTTCACGGTGTAGCCACATTACCACCTGAAGTGTGCATTCTTTTTCTAATAATTCAAGTCCATTAACTCTTGTGATATGTGATTTGGGCCTTAAAAACGAATAGGAAACCAATTTGTCCCCTATTTGTGCAAAGTGCCAGGTAATGATGAAATAGCTGGCAGTTACATACTTTACATAAATTTACATGATTTAGTTTCCTTCTATAGGCGATTAATTCGGCAAACTAAAATACACTAAAACTAGACGTCTGCTGATGAATGGCTCTCTTTGTAGAAACATCTCACAGCTCATTATATTTTGACCTGGAGCTATAAGGCGCAAGAATGTCAGTTGCTCTCTGTACAGCTGAAACATGCAGCGATTATGTTTGCTTAGATTTGGTAACTGAATGTTTAATCAACACTAGAACACATTCATTATTCTGAACTAAAGTATATAACAAGCTTAAATGATCTAAAGGACATAAACGGTCGGTTGAATAAGCTGGTGTGATCATGTGATCTACCTGACCTTTATATCTGTTCAAATGCACACAAAATGGACATGCAAATGGGCATTTTTAAATACAGCAAGTCTAATCACATGCAAAGTGCATATTCACTTAGTCT